TCTGGGTTCATAAAATGCTGACAACGACATGGAAAATATCCATACAGAGGAAAAACAGAAAACTTGGAGGAGATTATGTGGAATGAAAATTGCTGCAAAGGTTTGACGTTTAGCATGATTTTCATCAAATAGGCATGACAAATGGCAAATGCATATGCAAATCATAACTTATCTATGGACACTTTGCAAGAAATCATGAAAGAGAATGTTTTAAAGAGACTGCTTAAACCATTCTGTTCATTAATGAAAATAAAAATGATGAAAAATCAACCTAAACTACCTAAAAATGAGGTGAATTTGCTGAGCAGTGGGGAAATATATTACACCCTCTTTTCAAGGAGGAATCTTAGGTTTCCACATATTTTTATTATTAGTTAGTTAGATTGTTTATTTGTTTTAGTGAAATACTCCCTAGAGGAACGAGGGACATCGTCTCTATGTATTTCAGACAAAAGAGACTACTTTATTGATTGCTACTCCTTATTGCAAAGTTGTAATTAAAAATAAGTATTAAAACCTGTTACAGTGTAACATGGCACTCTATAGCTGGCTGTGCACAATAAAAATCACATCATGTTCTCATCAGAAAAGCCATCACTAGTCCAATTTCGAAGTTCTGCTGTGGTAATGGAAGGCTGCAGGAGGCTGTTCAGCAAAACTTAGGATTAGGGCTCAGTTGAAAATGTCAGCATGCAGTTACATCTCGGCTGTGTCTTGTACAAATTCTGGGTAGACAATGCTGAGAACATGGCTTAATATTACAATTAATATTATCTATATACACAAGAATTAAAAGTATTTAAAGAATATGCCAGGAATTGGATACAGCTAACTTTTAATTAGAAATTAGATTTTAAAAAAGCTGTTGGTCTCTTGCAACTCTGCTAGTTTCTGTACTCAGAAAGCTGAAATGTGTGTTTTGGCCAGAAAGAAGAACAGTATCACTGCCAGATGATCAGCCTGTGAGACTGGAAGATCTTTCTCTGAGTACATAAACAGTCTGAATATATATGACAATTATATTCATATAAAGATGGTCAGGGTAATATATATATTTAATCAGCAAATGTCAGGATCAAACCCTTAGGTATCTCATTCTGGAGATGCCAAACATGCACTTCTATAACTGTTTAAGCCTTCTCCTTCACATTTCACACTGGAAATTGCTTCTATTAAATTTTTTTTCCTGGTAACTGCAACTGGGAAATTTAAAAAATATAAGTTGCCTCTATTGACATTCTCAGATCCTAAGACATCACTGTGCAAAGGAGTTGCACCTTTGAAAAACACCTCAGTCTATGTGTAACTTCTCCTTTACCCCAGCATGATGCCAGAACCCAGAATAAGCCTTTTATTTCTTTTTTTTTTTAATGAGCAAGTACTCTGTGATCTTATCTAGCTCCTGATTTGTGGTTGCTGCTGCTCTTCTATGCTTCAGTTGTAGATGGATGATATGAGTTATAAATTATTTAGGCAAAGAAAAGGGTAGCCTGTGAGATTACTAATCAATTTTCTAAAGAATTATCTAGCAGAAATGCTAGTTTTAAATTATTTCATATTTCTTTTTAATTTAAACAAAGCCATCTAAGGTGACCTGGCTGGCATCTGTCTATGTTGACGTTCATGTATATTATCGGTCTTTTAGTGTTGTGTCCATTGCTCATCAGTGACTCTGAATGTCCCTGTAGTTTCCCAAGGAAAATAAAGATGCTTACTGTGGAAATTATTTTACTCATTTATAGACACATTACATTTAATAATCTAATGCTGAATCTCTTTACATTACTGCTACTGAAAGAATGAACTGCAATTTTGGCTCTTCTGTGCTAGGTGCTGTAATTCATAAAGGGACATATACACCAGAGGTGCAGGAAGAGTTTTTCAAGTTCATATAAAATATTCTGTGGCATGGTCTGGTGCTGAACTTCAGTGGTGGGTTCTTCATCTCAACCCCGTGCACTCACATCTATCCTCAGACTTACATTTTCAGAGAAACAAGTGTGAATCTTTCTGAGAAATCAAGGGCAGAAAACAGTAATCTGTTAAACTGTACATCTGAAAGTAATTGTCAATATGAGTAACATTACAAAATTGCTGTATATCACTTCTGTTTTTAAAATATTTAATATTAAATCTTCTTTGATTTTAGAGTGTAGAAGAAATCATCTGTCAACTTCTCTAAAATTTGCTACATCTCTTAGAGATGTAAGAAAGGAAAAATACTTGAGCTTTAAAAAACAATAATTAAAGTTTGTTAATTTGCAAGTCCTCACATTTGCTTTCAAATAATCATAACATGGCAGCTAAATAAGGATGTTCCTGTGATAATAGCACTTACAATAAAATGATTTGTCTTTTCTGTTAATACATTTGTAGAAGTCTTGGTAGAGCTTTCATAAAAGCTTATTGGTCTTTTTCACTGAAATCTACAATTTAATATCTGCTTATCCCCTCTATTATTTCCATCAGACAGTAAGAGTATTTCACATTACTTAAAAATCAAGGACAACCTCCTCAGCTGCTTTGAATATGAAAGCTGCCTGCCCTCTGTTACACCCTCAAGAATCTCTCTCATATTTTAAACAATATAAAACCCATTCATATCTGTAGTAGCAAGATGCAGCATTTGTTTAATCTGCTTCAGTAAGGGTAAAATACTCCTTAAAATATTTTTATTTTCTCCTTAGCTTACATCAGTTTTTCTTTTTGATAGTAATTGTTTTAATAAGAGGAAAATCCTGGATAGGACAAATGGTTTAAATATTTAAATATAGAGATTAAACCATTTACTGTATATTTACTTAATCTGGAAAAGCCAAGCAGTGAACTGATGAAGAGAATTTGCAAAAAGGCAGCAACCAGGAGCAGAGCTTGGAACACTCCTTGGCAGCAAAGCCAAGTTTGGTAACACGCTCCTGTTACCAACGCATCTGAAAGGAGCAGGAAGGTTGTTTCACTGAGCAGTGACACCAAAAGCTCAAGTGATTTATTCATAAGGGCTTTGCTTAGCTTTTAAGTCAGAGTGAATTTTCCCTTAGTAAGGACTTCAGGATGAGACCCTGGATGACAAAAGGCAATAGATCAAGAAGGATGTAATAAGTCTGCAAAATGTGGAATGTCACTTATGCACATTCAAAGTCATTTCCTAGTCCTTTTCCTAGGCTGTGTGCCAAGCAAAGCAGTACCTTCATTAAGAATGAATCACAAATTTTACAGAGTAAAGATAATCTTTTTCTCACTAGGTTTATGGGAAAGAAAAAAAAAATTACAATATTTACAGAAAAGAATGTAAACCCTGATGGGGAGGTGATCCAACTGACACCAATGCTTTCTTTTCCTTATAAACTCCAACCCCATCAGCAAGTCTTCACTTTTATTAGACTTCAAGTATCACTTGAAAGTCCTTGAAGAAGAATAGACCTAAACGTTTATCACAACAGGATCATAATGAAACATGCATGCTTTCTTCTTCAAAGATCTTGTTAATGTGTCAAAAAGCACTTTTTTTTTTTTTTTTTTTTTTTTTTTTTTGCATATGCTGCTGCAGTATATACTGAAAAGAAAATGAAAGACCTCTTCACAGCAAAGTGTTTTTTTTTTTTTTTTTTTTTTTTTCTCTTTATTTTCCCAGTTGCTCTCAAGGACAATAGTTTATTAGTGGCGTTTCATTCTCCAACACAGGAACTTTTCAAGCTTCAGAAATTTTGTCCTGTTGAGTGAATGCATTCCATTGAATTTCTTTGTTACTTACATGTTGCTAAGGTCTGTTTCAGTTTTTGATAAAATAATTAACTGCTACTCAAAACAGAAGAATGAAACTGGAAGCATAAGAGTAATAACAAAGAGATCCTCCAATAACCTAGGAATAGTAAGAACTTATTTTTTGCTAACTATCAGATCTCAAAAATCAGGGGAAATCATTTTGGAGTGGCTTTCACAAAAGCATTTAAAACCTTTTGAATTAAAAAGTAAAATTAAAGGTTTCCCTATGAAATTAAAACCTGCACTTGCTTTGGATTTCTAAAAAGGTTGAAGGAGTTTTATAATACATTTTAGAAGTAGATGAATGCATTTTGTTCTGTAAAACTTTGAAATTATTAACTTGGGACTTTTCCTAAAAAATTTAAGGATTTTTGCTGATTAAAAATGTAATGGAATTGGGAAAATATTATTATATCAGCAATATGAATTGACTTGTCTCTATTTGTGGTGGAAAAGCTACAGGCAAAATGCTTTCCTGAACACAAGTCTGACTGACAGACTAGAAAAGCAATGGCACTGCACACTAGGGAAAGATCACATTGTTTTCTGTTATTAGCTATTAGGCCTCTTCCTTACCCAAAGATAACAATAAGCGACATGTTATGTTGTCCGTGAAAAGCATCTGTATGACAGCTATTTTTGTGAAAGAGAAGAGAAGCAATTTCTTCTTTGGTCAAAAAGGTTTGTAGAAGACTATATATACATACATATACATATATATAGATATATCCTGTTATTTTCCTAGGAGTGCAGTATGGGGCAGAGAGCACTGTTCCTTCAGATGAAGCCATTAATATAGGAAGCCATTAATATAGGAAGTAATTTCAATGAATTCATATAGTTTTTTACTTGGAAGAAAACAGAGCAATACTGAACAAGTGAAGAAGATGCAATTCCCAGCACACCAGGAAGGCTGGGCACTCTTCAAGAAGGAAATCTTAAAGGCTCAGGAGTGGTCTGTCCCCATATGGGCAGAGGGGAGGGCCTGTAGCCTGTAGGCCGACTCTGCCAGGCAGGAAATTGGGCTTAAACCCAGGAATTGCGCCTAGGAATTTGGGCTTGCAGAAGGCAAAAAATAAGTTCAGTCATTCCAAGTTGCATCATGTCCAAATGGCAATGTTAAAGAATATACCACCTGGGTTTGGATTGAGGAACTAGGGGCCTTGCAACAAGGAAAATACAAAAGCAGGAAGGAAGGATTTGTGCAGTGACAGCAGGCCCATTGGGCCTATAGGCTCACAGTGTTTGGTGGATGATGGTCTGTGCTTGGGAGTGCACACATAAAACTTCTTTTGCCTTTGGATTGTCCTGGTATGTTTATAAGTCAGGGGATAGTTTTATTGAAAAGATTCATTTATTGGAGTAAATTAAATCCAAGCATGTAGAAGATATTTAAACTTTGGAACAGCAGAGACCATTTGTAAATAGAAGCAATCAAAGCCGACAGTGTTTAGACATTCGTGGAGACATCAAGGGACAGCTTGTAAGATAATGTATGAGAATTATACAGTGGTCTTGTCATCAGTGACACATGACTGTTTACAATAAAGTCCTCTTCTGAAACTTTTTGAACTGTTGTGCTGTTCAAAATAACCTTGCTCAATAAAAGAGAGGAATCAACTGTCATTAAGTATGAATACGAGCAACGAACACAAAGCTTTATGCAAAATCAACTTATTTGTAAAAACTCAAAATAATGTTGCTATATCTGCTAAACTGTTCCTTGTAATACCTTTCTGTCTGGGTTATCTGAGAGAATAAGAATGACCTTATTGAGTGTGAACAGAAAAGACTAAGTCCTTGGTTGTGTAAATCAGTGTTCAAGTGTCATCATGTTTAACACCAGAACCACTGTACAGGACACTGTGTAGCAATCTGCCATAAATGTGACATGAACAGTGTTAGCTAAAACCTCACTGACGGTTACAGCTTGACATAACATGTCACATTATGACATAATGCAAGAACTGAACAGGAATAGTTGTTATCAGTATCAGGGAAAACCAATTTCATAGTAATGCAGCTGTTCCTCTAATTAGTGCACTGAAACATTATATTTTTTCCTTGTTCAGATTGTCATAATGCTGAACAGTTTCATTACAACAGGCAGAATATACCTGGGTATTGAAAACTAGATGTTTAAAAATGGAAACTGCGTATTTTTGTAAATTTAACAATGGAACAAATGTCATCATGCTTTATAACAGAGAGGATGTTCTGTGTTGAACAGAAATAAATGATCTGAATAGTTTTTTTCCTGAGAAACACCTTTGCATGCTTCACTCCCAAATGTTTTTTTCTTTCCTCTTTCTCTGAATTTCTGCTTCAGCACTCCTCTGTCCCACTTCATTGCTAATTACTTCCAACATTTTCTCGGCTATTGCACTTTTTCCAGTTTTGGACCTGCCCTGACCCCTCAAGCTGCTTGCCTGCTGCTGGCTTTCTCACCTCTGCTCCTCCACGGTGATGCTCACTTGGCTTGCTCATCTAAATAACAGCTTTTACAGTTTGGAAGAAGTCTGAGGTGAGGTTTATGAGTCCTATCTGTAGCCATTTAAGGATATCATATTTAACAGATGTTTCTCTTTATGTGTAGCATACATCTTGTAACAGATTGTATTTACATTACATATGCTGGTCCGCAGTTTCTGCTCTTTGACAGAGGAGACAGAGGAGCTCCTTAAACCTCACTGCAATTACTTGGGGTTTTCAGTGGTGTCTGAGCAGTCGGGCTTAGAAACCATCAGTCAACTGCATTTTTGCTGGCCTGAATGTTTATCATTAAATTGGTCTCAGAACTATTTTCATTGTCTGTCATCTGACAAGGAAAACCTGATTTTAGTTTCACCAGAGCTTCTTTCATCAAGGCATCAGCTTTCATCCTCCTAATTATCCTGGACTGACTTGTACTTTGGATTTCTTGTATTTCAGCCCTCTTCCATTTAGTAACAATGTAATAATGGCATTTAGCTCCCAGCCATGTCGGGAGATTCAGCCAGCATTTTCTGTCATCGCTGCAGCTTTGCAGTCTGTTTTTAAATGGCTCACTCCATTTCGGAAATCAATAACGTAAGATATATATATATGACTTTTCAATTTCTCACAAAGTGGCACTTTAATATGGCCCACAGGGCCATCAAACGACCTAGGAAAACCTACATGCATTCTCAGTCAGAGGCTTGTCTTGACCTGAAATTAGTAAATTCCTCTCCTTCTCTCTCTCTCAGAAATAATGAGCTCTTTCTTTGCCTGGGATGTATTTGCATACTTCCACTGACACCAAGCAAGGCAACAGGGAGAGCCTGGTTTATATTTTGCTAAGAATATTCCTCCTTATTCTTTGTGTTTGCTGCACATTGCTTTAGATCAAACTCACAGCAAACCTTTGTGAAAAGTTTTCTTGTGAAAGTATTTATATCCTCCCTCCTTCTAACAGGAAAATTCTCGTTGAGATTCTCTTCTTTTGGATAAAAATAAATGTGTTCAGGTACATGTGGTGGTATTAAATGAATTAATACTATAACAATAGCTGTTAATGAATTAACATCTCTTCAATTTCCTTAGTAAGTAACAAAATATAATTATATAAGTTGTGTTGAAAGTTTGCATCTAAATCAGATCATCAACATGCAAGCTGGGAATTAAACAAAAATTGAAATGTTTGTGAAAAATATCCAGGTGACCAGGATAGTGCTAGGCAGGAGAAGAGTAATTTCCATCCAAAACAGACAATTCTCAAAACAGAAGCATTAATGATATGCAGAGGTAAGTATCAGAGTAATTCGGAGTTTATTAGCTGCTGACAATGGAAAATGCATGGCTACTTCTGAAGTTTGTAACACACAAAAAAAAATCTACAGTGAAAGTTCAGAGAAACTTTTTTTAGGTTAAAATTTCACCAGACAAAACTGAATAGGCCATTGTTAGTTTATAAAACACTCTTAGTTTATGTGGTCTTCCAGTCTTCCTGTTTTCCTCTATTTGTGAACATTTGTGATGTTCAGATATATGTGTCTACACAATTCTGAGCAGGTATTCTCAGGAATGATGGGAAAAATCAAACCTTTTCAGCCCGTTCATGAGCAACAGATGCAAATGATCTTGTTCAGGAATCCTAACAGTTTAAATATTTGCCTTAAAAATAACAAAAAAAAAAGGTAAATTAATCATATCTTTGTGAGCTTTTACAACAGTTACCGTGTAGATGTCAAACTCAGGCTGTTCCAGTGTAGTAAGTGTTCTTCTAAATACATTATTCAAGTGCTACAAGGCATATGATGCATGTGGCACATTCACAAAAAAAAACAAACACATATTGTGAAAGTAAGGGAACAGAGTCTTTCAATGTTGTATTGAGTCTATAGGAAGCCTGTAAATCAAATAGAAGCACACACTTTCCACCAACACATCTGTGAACTCATGGGTTCCTCAGAAGTGATGTGACAGTGGAATAAGCTTTTTTTGAAAATATTTTATTGATATAACTGATGCCAGAGATGGCAATTAACTATTTTATTACAGCTTTCAGGCATAAATGACAGAAGCTTTTCAGCTTAGAAGCCTCTAAGGATTTAAGAATTTTACAATTGTATTTTTTAAACAAAAGAAACAAGTGCAATGAGTCTGTTTTTCTACCCATGGACTCGTGAGAGTGGAGACAGCAATGTCCACTTGATGTCTCACAGGTTGTCTGGATTTTTTCTGTATGTTTCTATTTTTACCCAGGCAATTCTCCACCATCAAATTATGTTAGAAAATTCATTGTGAATTCAACCTTTGAGTAAACTGTTATGTTATTATAATCTTCCTCAGGGAATTGTTCTAGGACACAGGACACTTTGAGATGAACTCAAAGCCTTGCTATGCATATTTTGATTCCTGTCTTTGCTGCTGTCATACTTTGTTGCATTAACTCTACAAAGTGTGGACTTTTATACATTCTCTCTTTCTCACTCTTTTTTTTTTTTTTTTTGGTCTGGCTTCGATTTAGATATTAGCTCTATAGGGCTGTACACTTCTTTGTAAGAGCATATCTAGCATAATAGGGCTCTGATTTTCTTGGCACCCTGGTGTACTAATATGTACTGTTATGACTGCTATACAGTATAATGCTGAAATCAGCTAAAAGCCTATCTGAGCCCACTCTAGCTTTGGGAAAGCACAGAGCTAATAAAAACAGATAAAATATGGTTCTAGGGAAGTTCTATTAAATGTGCCAGCTATTGGTACCAGGCAGTAGATAAATATCAAATATTAATATATTTATTAACTGAGAATTCAGAAAGTAATCTAATTGAAGCCCTAATAAAGAAAAATGTTTGCCAAAGAATTAATCACACCTTGCCGTATTTCACTCCATTAGTTTTGAAGTCTTCATTTTAAAGGACTGCCTCCACATCCCATTCTGGGCTCAGTTAGATGCAACTAATTGGGAGGAAACAGCTGTTGTTGTATCATTTAATATAACCAAGATGGAGATGTGTGGTTACAAAGCTTTTTTTTTTTTTTTTTTTTTTAATAAATATTTTCAAGACAGATACTGGTGATTCTGGAAGTCAGCAATCTCTAGTGAGAGTGTTAGGAAGTATATTCTCCCTGGTCAGAAGGCAAGGTAGGATTTCTCTGCACACAACTCTCTGTTAGCTCTAAATCAGCCCTTGAGCTTTTTCAAGTCTTAGGGTCTTCAAAATGGCTGTAAGAGGGTGTGAAGGGAACTGGAAATAATGGTTGCAATAAAAGAAATATATTTTATATGTTGCTTTTTTATACCTCAACTGCAAACAGAAAGAACTTGCATGGTTGTGTCTCTGAGAACAATACAACACACAACAGGGAAACAAAATGATAAAGTTTTTCCAGCCCATCCTGTGTGAGCTAGTCATGTTTTTTTTCCAAGAGTAGATGCCAAAGTCAATTTTCCAGACCTGTTTGAGAATCCCATGTGGTGAAATACCCCTGGGGATTATTCTGTGGTACTTTGTCTGCTGTCCTGATGTTTAATCTTCAATTTTTCAATTCAAATTTTCAATTTCTTACTTTTCATGAAATTACCCCAGGGTACAAAGTTAAGCATGTTATGTCATTTAATTGCTCTCTTTTTTGACTCCACATCATACAAAGTGGGGAAAAAATATTAGCAAAGTGAAGATAACAGAGGCCTTATTTAAGATGAAACAATGCTAGTTTTTTATGCTATGAAAAAAAAATCATTTGATATTTGTAAGGTTAATGTCACAACAGAATAATGTTGATAATAATCATATATAGAGGTTTTATAGTTTGTGGGCATAAATGTTTTGCCTTTGCATGCCTTATTTTACATAGAAGGAAAATGAGTTGTAGAGTTTGAATGAATTGTCTAAGGTTAGTGATCCTACTTCTCACAGAGTGAGGAATCAGAAGGTCTCTGCCTGTTGCCTATCCTTCTTTGCCCTAATTCTCAACTTTTGTCTTTCCTATGTTATAAACTGATTCATGTATGTTTGCATCTGTGTCAAACATAACACATACCTTGATATAAGAAGTGGTTGTACTTTTTGGTTAGAAAATAAGGACAATAAAAGATAAACACCTCCAAAACCCTAAGGCAAAAAGGGGAGTAAGTAGCATTATATTAGTATGGGTTAAAGAAAAAAAAAAAAAAGGTCGTAATAGATTGCAGAGAAGATGTAAGGAATGGTCTACCTTGCCAGGCTATAAAATGAAGTGGAAAGAAGCATCCATAAGCTACTAAATAAAAAATGCGCTTTAAATTCTACACTAGTTTGTAGAGCTTTTAAGTTGCATACCTTTGCTCCATCCCTACACAGCATGTATGCTGCCAAAGACAGAACATTATTTAAATTTCCTCTAACCTCTCCATCCTTTAAGCATCACTGATAGGCAGTGTAACAGTAATCCTCATCTTCTGTCTCTTGCATTTTCTCTGAGTTTCTTTAGTAGCTCATATTCATGTGTTTCCAATAATGAAGGCTTTCTGCTGATAAAACTCTTGCATATTTAAATGGTGTTTTGAAGTGAATGTAGTCTGCTCTTCTAAACTTCCAGACAAGACAAGCAAAAAAGAACCCAATTTAAAGGAAAGAGCTATCAACCAGATGGGTAAAAATACAGTCTCTGTGTGCCTGCACTAAAGAGAAGAGCAGAGAGAAGTTATGAAGCAAGATGAATTGGCCTTCTAAAAGTTAATGTTGTCACTTTCCTGTCCTTTTTTTTATTTTATTTTATTTTATTTTTCCTCATGATACTTGAAAAATGTTTTTTCTTGCCTAAATAAAAGCAAGGCAGGAATCAAACTTCCTCCCAATCTCACTCACTGTTAAGTCTTGGCAGCTGAGAGTTCTGTCTTCAAACTGATGGAACCAAACCATCCCCAGGAGCAAGGAGACCAGGGGTATGCAAGAATGATTCATTAAGTCAAAACTTTGTGTCTTCATTCAAACGTCTTCATAAAAGGTCTAATTTGATGCCATGCTGAGTAACCAATGTCCTCTTTTGTACTTAAGACCATTAAATGAGATGCCT